CAGGCCTTTACTGAGAAATAGGGGCATCATCATATATATATATATATACTGTGTGTGTGTGTGTGTGTGTGTGTGTGTGTGTGTGTGTGTGTGTGTGTTATTGTGCATGTGATTGTGGAGAGTATTTTGTCTGGATATTATTCCTCAGGAACTGGCCACCTTGCTTTTTGAGACAGGGTCTCTGTTCGGAACCCGCAGCTCATGGTTTACACTTTACTGGCTGGCAAGCGAGCCCCTATCCCCAGCAATCTGCCTGTCTTCACTTTCCCAATCATGAAATTACAAGTGCTCCATGACACCTGGCTTTTTAAATGGGTGCTAGGTGTGGTCCCAGTCCTTCTTCTCATGTGATTAGCACTTTACCAGTCAAGTAATATCCACTGCTCAAAGCTAACTGGCCTGGGGAAATAAGTCTACCCAGGGACACCACTGCAGAATTGCCCCTTATATTGTTATCACTTAACAGAGAATAGAGTCTCTGCAGAGAGAATGTTTGGGTTTCATCAGCAGTACAGTCATTAAAGTTAACATTAATGTGTTCCTAGGAGGTATAGTGTGGTCCGTGAAGATGAAGTGGACATGCAGTTAGGCTTGTGTTGCTCCCACAGTGTCATCCTCCAAGATGTCACAGTTACAGGACTAATAATTATGTATCTGAGTTTGAACTTTTAGGATCATATCTGGGTTTCAGTGTTTTTAATAGTGTTACAGATAATGATAACTCAGATTCAGAGAAAAGAACTTTGAAGTAAAATTTGGTATATGATGGAAAATATTAGGAAATTTCCACTTCTCCAAATTCTTAATATTAAAAATACCTTTTTTTTAAACAAACTATCATTTAATTGTGATCCTTTACATACTGATTTAATTTTGTGTCTTTAAAACAGAAAATAAAGAAACAATGTAGTTATCATTGTTACATTACTTAAAACACATTACTGATGTTAAGGAAATATGAAGTTAAATGTTATTTAAAAGTATCATACAATTTTCTCTATCAATGTATCATAACTGTTATATGAAAAATTACATTAGTTTGGAAAATTACATTCATTCAGAAATTAATATGGCCCCCTAAATGGAGATGTTCAATAATATACAAAGGAAGTTTATTTAGAATATATTAAGGGATGTGAAAAAGCAAGCATAGATATCAATTCAGCTATTGCCAGGAAAGTTAGGAAAAGGTAAGTATTTTAGTTTTTATAATATTTTTCAAGTTAGGTGATGACTGTTCTTAATTTCTCTTAATGTGTTACTTAATCTAGGTTTTCTTTTCTGGTAAACAGACCCACATGATCTTAATAAATACTTTATAGAAAGAGACTCTAATGATATTGTGTACTTTCTAAGAGATTCTTTTAACATTTTTACTTATTTTATTGCAGTAAAATAATAAGCAAAGCATCACACTTTATTGGCCAAGCTTTTGTTTGATTGGCTACCTTAATCTATCTGGGTGATCCATTTATCTGTAAAGTTGCAGCATGCTTATAATCCGCTATACACATTCCAGGAAAGTTTTACAAACATTATCACATTTGACCTATTTTCTCACTGCAATTGATTTCACATCTAGCACCATTGACTATGTTTGGCCACAGCAAATGGCTATTACTTCACTGTTTAATGATTTATCCTTTGAAGTATTAGCACAAAATATTATGATCCAGAAATTGTTTCTGTAAGTATATATGTCAATTTAGTTTTCAATGATGCTAGGGTTTCAGTATATAATGCTGACAAGAAAAATATTATGATGTACAAACATGAATATCAGTAAGTCACATGTTTCTGAAAACACATCAGTATATACTAAGTTTTGAAAATTAATCATTGTTTGTGCATGCATGATATGTGTGCAATGGTGTATATACCATGGTTCCAGTGTGGAAGTCAGAGGACAATTTTATGGAGCCAACCTCCCCTTTCTTTTGTGTGTGATCAGACTCAGTTCACAAGTCAGTTCATACAAGTGCCTTTGCCAGCTGAGCTGTTGCTTGATCATTCTTCCAGTGTCTTAAATTAGTAATAGAAGTTGTCCAGAATTTAAATTCTACTTTTTAAACAAGAAAATTATGGGCCAAACTTTTGATCCAAGCACTCAGAAGGCAGAAGCAGGAGGATATCTGTAAGTTCAAGGCCAATCTAGTCTACAGAGCAAGTTTCAGGACATCAAGGGTGACAAAGAGAAACTCTGATTTGCAAAAAGAAAAAAATAAGAACAAAAAAATGAATATGCTTAACAATATACACACATATAATGATATCCTTAGCTACTTAACCAGAGGGAAGATATAGGTATCATCTGGGTGGAAATTATCTAATACGTACATAGGTTAATCTAGAAATTTTGGAATTTTAAAGCCACTAATATGGAACTGTTTAATCCCCATGAAATGTGTGAAAACTTAAGTCATATAAGTAGATATAGTGAATCATTTCTTTTCCTTTTATTTGTGGTATGGTTTGGGTATAAGTAATAAATATTTAAAATTACATTGCACTAGACATTTTGACCCCCACTTTTATTTTATTATTGCAGGTATGTGTGAGTATGTATATGAGTTTGAGTTTATAAGCACATTTGTGCACATGTCTCTGTCTAGAGGTCCACCTTAGTTGTAGACCTCGTGATTATAGGCACAGGATCTCTCACATGTCTGTAGCTGGCCAATAAGATTGGGCAGGCCATATATTTATCTGTCTCTGTCTTTGCATCACTGGGATTATAAGTACACATCATGACACATGGTCATTTTACCTGGGCTCTGATTATCACACTGAGGTCCTCAAATGTGTAGGACAGACACTTTACTGTCTGAACTATCTCCCACACCACCAGATACCTGGGCTCCACTTTTAATTTCAGTATTTAAAAGGGTCTAGGCAGGAGGTTTCAAGTTTTAGGGCATCCTGGGATGCATAACAAGACCCTGTCAAAGCAATAGAGTCAGTGAGCTGGTAGTACAGAGGGTGTAGCTCAGGGTAAACCACTTGCCCAATTTGTGATTCAGTCTGTATACCACAAAAATAAATAGTTATATGTGTAATTAAAAATAAATTGTTTATTTGTGAGTATGCCTTAACTTCCTTTTAGGTATATATTTCATTAAATATCCATTTTCTGCTAAAGATTAACATCTGTGGGTACCACACAATCAGATGTGACAGACTCCCTTTCCTGTGTGCACATATTGTCCAGAAGCAGAGACTGAATAATAAAGCCGGGGATTCAGTGGTCCTATTATCACTTCCTACACTTTGTGCAACAAATACTCAAGAGGCTGGGGAGAATGCAGTGGGTGAGAAGTTCAGTCAGTCATTGTGGGTTAATTTGGAGTCATACATGTTCAATATGAAAGCTTACCTTCCCTCCAAAAAGGAGATTAAAGGAACTTAAATACATTCTCTAAGAAAGGCTAGACAAGAGTATTGATTTCAATATTGCAGGAGAAAGAGAATAATAGATTAGTCTATCAATGCTAGACTAAAACTGATAGTGTAGATGCAATCCTTTTACGACTACTGGTGATGGCTCACAAATCTAACTCTTTGGTTTTTTTCCAAGCCAAAGCCAAGACAGAAATATGATCAGTTAAAATTTTATATTTGCCATATATAGCTTTCTCTGGCACATAGCCCTGAAAGAAATGTGTCCCGTGAGTCCATAGATAAAGAGGTCACAATATGATGTACTGCCTTCAGACACTACATCTTAGGAAGCCTAACAGAGGTTTTCCTGTGTGTACTTGTAACAGTTCTCAAATTCAAACCAAGGGCAAAATGCCAACATTAAGTTCAGCTGAGGACCTTGAGGGCAGAAACAGCCATGTAAAAATACAGCTCTCTGAGGCCTTGGCTTGATTGTCACATGCCGTTTTGAATGTTCATCAGCATATACAAACTGCACATTATAGACAGGACTCTCTATAACTTTATATGTGTCTAATTAATTCCTTAACATCACCAGACAGATGCCTAAGCAGAAGCCAATTTTGAAAATATGTTCATATTATCTGATTTTGACCAGACATGGCATGCCCAGGTGGCATAGAATCTGTAGAAGGGACATGCAGACTTTCTTAAACAAACTGCATTATGAAGACTTTCATCCTGAAATATCATACCTGACATGTGTTATTATTTTTATTGTTATTTGTTGTTGTTATTTTTCCAACTAATTATTTTCTTAGTAGTTATAATTAATGTCCTAATTGTGGCCTTCAGGAAAAAAAAATGTCTAAAACTACATTTCCACAGTGCCTGACATTTTGAATTGTTGTTTATGGAAAAACTTCCAGCTTGTCCTAAGAACTGAGACAGTCCACAGGTGAACCTTCATGCAGATGAGCTGGGTGGTTCCTGGTGTGAAATGACTCTAACTCCTTAATCCACTCTGGCTGTGACTCATCATAGTTGACAACAGCCCAGTAACAGCTCACCCACTTAGCACACTTAAACTCTTGTCAGTTTTTCAACCTTCTGCTTTCTTTTATCTCTTTTGGTCATCTTTCTGATGTTTGATTGATTTGGAAGACAATGTGGTTTGTTCATACATGTGACTGATCTCAGGACCAGTTTCTTGCCACACATAAGTATCTGTCCACAACCTGCACACAGTGCTCTACGTGGCCAACATGGAAGTACAGAAACATTGTATCAGTGTGAACTGTGATTGTGTGGGACATGCCAGCAATGCATATGTCTGTGGTGTGCTGAGAACACAGATTTCTTAGTTTCCTGGGTATTCCTTTCCTTATCTGTAAAATGTCACTGTTACTTTCATCACTGGCTACTTCAAAGTTGCCTAAAAAAGTCTAATGTCCCTCAGTTAGTGAAGACACCATATATCTAACCTGCTATTAGCCAAGTCTTATTTTCTAAAACCAAACTGTGAACTTTCAACCTACTTTCCCCTCCAATCAGAAGATGGTAAGTGAATATTGCAATTTGAGTGACTGTTATTGTGTTTCAGTTGTTTAATTTAATTACAGGTCTCTCAATAGACTATGTGGAGAATAAGCTTTATTGGATCAGTTCTGGAAATAGAACCATAAACCGATGCAACCTGGATGGTGGTAATTTAGAAGTAATAGAGTCAATGAAGGAAGAATTAAAAAAAGCTACAGCCTTAACCATCATGGGTAAGTGCAGTGATTCTGTGGTGAGGCAGAATCTTATTGATTAGTAGTTGATTAATTAAGATCTATTAAAAGCCTAGCAAAGTTACTGTTTTATTAGCAAGACACTTTCAAGCTGAGCATTGCTGTGAATTTTTTGCTTAATTTTTAACAAAAAAAACATACTTTTATGATTATTCAGATTAGACACTTGGTGCTTGTATTACAATTAACTTCACTTAGTTATCAGTTCTTGGCTTTGTGTGGATTGTACGACTATTTGATTCTTTCCTGAGCTCTATTGCAGCTCTGAGGTAAAGGACTCACATTTGCCAGTGAGAAGCATTTCTAGCTTATCTGATTTTGCAGCGTGAAAATGGAAACTATGTCTTGGTCATCTGACCAGTTTTGAAATCACTCACTTGTATCTTTTGGGCAAATTCTAATGATCAAGTCTTATTTCCATCCCTTTTGTACAGTATTATGGAGGACTTAAAACATAGGCAGAATGTTTTTCCTATAAAACTGTCAACTATGCTGCACCACTTTATGAATTTTGTTTTGAAATCCGAATTTTCCTCTTAGCCAGAGCTTCCTGTGAGCTGTAAGCCAGAACTAGCTGACCCCATACAGAAGTGATGTTTATTGATGGGTTTTTGTTTTGTGGATGAGCCCATGTGGTCCTGTGTAGCTCATCAATTTCTGTATTATATTACAAGAACTGAGAAATAAAAACTGTTTATATTTCCAAACATCAGGATATGTCTAGGAGCATAACAAAACCTTATACCATTTGAAAAATTCAAATTCACCCTTAATATGTCTTTTAAAGTTTGTATAATTAGCAAATAAGGTCTTGAAATTATAGAAATTGTACTTCCCATAGTATTTTATCTATTTTATCTGTTCATAAACCCTATGTAATGGTATTTTGTTGTTTTGGGTTTTTTTGTTGTGTTTTGGTAATGTTTATTTATGAACACATGAGCAAATGATAGAATGCCATTTAATGATGGAGATATACTTTAAAATACATTTTCTAGGTAACCACTTTATTCCCTTTATTTCCAATCATGAAACCTGTATGAATAAAAGCCAGCTAGATAGCAATTTTTTTCCTATCATGCAGAAGGCTGAGGAAGACTTACCTCCAGGCTAGCCTGGGCTGCATACTAACTTTGAGATAAACCTGTGCTACCTACCTAGTAAGTTTGAGACTAAGCTGTGTTATGATGAGACTTTCTCTCACATTGGAAAAAAAAGTGAATGAAAATGGTGACATTTTAAATTTAGAAACTATTTAAGAGAAAACAGTGTTTCACTTTCTTGTGAAGAGGGCAAAACAGATTGTTTTCACTTATCATTAAATGTTGTAATAATATATATGGAAATATGTGTATATATTATAAAATATGGGGAATATAAGCAAATGTTCATTTTAAAGTGCCAATTTGTACATAAATGTCTAATTAAGATCTCAGTACACTCTAGGTTTGTATGCTTGGCTTTTATGTGGGACCCTACAGGTATCCAGGGAGGGAAGTGAACCCTCAAAGAGTTGAGGATGAAAAACAGGTTCAGAATGGCTTCATCAATATGGACCAGACTTTGAAGAGTCTTTGTCATTTATACTTCTAAGTGAAGAATCTCCTTTTGAAAAATCACTGATTTTTCTTTTTAATTTCCTGGGCATTTGGGAATTTTCTGCACTGTTTATATGTGCTATTAGTCAAGTTTAATATTCTTGTGGGGTTGATCACTTCATGTCACAGAGGAGATGCAACAGTATGGCAGCAGGAAAACACACAGTTCCTGAGGACCAGTACCAGTGACCAACCTGGTTGAAGTAGGCTAGGTGGATAGTCCACAATCTCTTTCTAATCTATTCAGATTGTGAGTCTCTCAGTGAATTAATCTGTTCATTGGAGTATTTATCAACTTAATCTTACTCAATAAAATCCTGGAAGATCAGAGAACAGGAATCAGCAGCCAGTTGATTCCTACCTGTCTCTTCCTTCCCTAGAAAGGGCTGAGAACCATTCTCTGCCCTGCATTATCACTTCTTTTCTGCTTCCTTTGTGCTGAGATTAAAGGTGTGAGCCTGCCAAGTGCTGAACTAAAGTTGTGAGCCTCCCAAATGCTGAGTCCCCATGGTTAACTAGTAGCTAGCTCTGCCCTCTGATCTCCAGGCAAGCTTTATTTTTCAGTAAACAAACAGTTCATTATTTAAGAGTCCACAAGATCTAATCTTCTCAGGAAAAGCCCAGGACCTCTGCTATACTAATCTACTAAACATCTCTTAATTCATCCATGTGGGTAAGAACACTATGTCACATAGCTCAGTGTTGGCACTATTCTCACTTCCTACACACAGACACATAGACATGTAATAAACATATGCATATACACAAACATACATGCAGACACACTCAGCTCACATATGTACATACACAAACACATATGAATGACACCCAGGCTGTTAAGGAAACTTCGTCACACATTTCAGGATTAAAGTTGTTCTCCTTGTGTACACACACACACACACACACACACACACACACACACACACACACAAAACAGACACACACATACACACACTGTATCCAATGTCTTATTGTAAAATTGAAACTTACATACACTCTTTAGAATGTTGTTTGTTTGGTTGGTTGGTTTTGTGAGATAATGCTTTAGCCAAGATTGGCATCCATCTCACTTTGTTTTTGAAGATGACTTTGGTTCCTTGATTCTCCTACATCTATGCTCTACATGTGTAGCATAGCAGGCATGTGATATCCACCTTACTTCTACAGGATAAGTGAGGTTACTTATATGACATAACATTGTCAAAGCAACAGTACCATGTTCTTCATATGCACTTTTGCATATGTTAAAACTCAAGTAAAAGCAAATACGAAAATCTGAAAGTGTCAGAACAATCTTTCACATTGTGTTCAAAACTAAATACTAAATCAAACTAAATTAACAAAGTACAGGAAACAAATGAATGAGACAAAAAGATTAAAAATGAAGTCATGACACTTCAAAAATTGCCTTTTTATTCCCTCAATATATTTCTTCATATTATATAACACATATAATAATGTGTTATATTATTTAAAAAAAACCCTGACTATGTAAATTAAAGACTTTAGCAACTTCCACTTCTCCTGCTAATACCACTGACAATTTTCTGAATAGGAAACCAATGCTAAACTTACAGAACTTGATATAGTATATGCACTCTCAAAAAATGGAATAAGTCCTCTATTTTGGCAAAAAGGTGGTTTGTAGTTTGTTAGTGAACAAAAGTTCACTGAAAGCATGGAAGAAAGTGTTTGGATGGTTGAAAGCCTTGATTGTGTCAGCATTGTAGATCCACTCAGAAAAGGAGTAGGCAAAAACTGAAATCCTTTAACAAAAGAATGGCTTGTATAGAAGGTTCCTCCCTGACACCACAGCTCGATTAAAATCAATTGAACAACATCCTTAAAATCCCTGAGAGCGCAAACTAACTGCTTATAGCAGGCCACTTCCCAAAATGTTAAAAGCATAATGAAACAGAAGTGGTGGTGGTGGTGGGGGGGTATTTCTACTTTCTCAGCAAGGTCTGCTCTCTCCTTCTGGGCACCCCTCCTCCACCCCACTTCCTCAGTCTCTTCTCTTTCAATTTGAGGGAGAAAGGAACAATAGCATGTACTGTTGTCTGCTGCAGATGAATGCAGAAAGAAAACAATCAATTGTAGCAGGCGCCTCACTGTGGTCTAAGGGATTATATTGCTTAGAAAGTTTAAACAGAAATTTCCCCACAGTGATACTGAAATTTAAATATTCTGAGAATAAAGGAATTGTCTTTCTGACAAGCAACACATGTATACAAACTCATAGTACCTCCCCAAATCGACTATATAGGTAACAGACAGTGACAGTAAATACTTGAAATTTGCTTGAACTAAAATCTAAGAGTGGTACCCCTCAAACTGAAATTTAAAAACATGTCTTCACACAGTTTTCACCAATTTTTCATTTTCAAAGCTTGTAAACTGTAACCACTGGGTATCTCATTTTACGGGTATCTCATTTTACTTAGAGTGAGCTACACAAATAAAATGGAGAAAGATTGGAAATAGTGAATATCTGGTACTGCCCTGATCAGAACAAAGTCATTATCTGATGGTTATACAAACCAATGTAACAATATCAAGATGTTTACCAAGCTAGAGGTTAGAACTGGGAGGAAGGCTCAATTGTTATAGGGCTTGTCTTATAAGTATGATGACCAAATAACAGTCCTCACCACTCAAGTCAATCACTGGGCACAGTGCCATGTGATTATAATCCCAGTGCAAGGGACAGAGACAGAGGGCTAAATGGATGTCTGGCAGGCAAGTCCAGGCAACCTAGTCTGTTTGGTGGGTCCCAGGCTGGTGAGAGACTCTGTTTCAAGAAATGTGGTGAACAGGTCCTTAGTAATGATATTTGAGGTTGACACCTGGACTTCTTATGCACTCCCATAAGCAAACACACACACACACACACACACACACACACACACACACACACACACACACACACACACACATTGAATATGGCTTAATTTTTCTCTCTTTGAATGTGGACTAGATGTTTGTGACTTTTCAATAAGCAGAATGGGGCAGAAGTGACAGATTCCTGCGATTCAGGAAACTGAATGAGGCTTCTCTCTCTCTCTCTCTCTCTCTCTCTCTCTCTCTCTCTCTCTCTCTGTCTCTCTCTCTCTCTCAGATTAGTTACTTTGACAATGCCAGGCCACCATTAAAAAAATACTCAATAAACCCTGTGGAGAAGAGTACACAGATAGACACAGATGTTCAACCACAGTCATGTCTGTGGTCCATCTTGAAAGCAGGAGGTCTAGACTGGTCAGAAATTCTAGACTATAGTGGAAACAAATAGTCATAAAGCAGCCTCAAAAGGAATCTTCAAAGAAGGACCATCATGCATTGTATTAAGTTGTTAATATTTGGGAAAATTTGATGCTCAGCAAT